CACTGTTCAGTGGTGAAAACCAGGAACTCTAACTTATTAATGAAATGATGATTTTGCATTTGCAGTTTTGCACATATATACCTTAAATTTCCTACACTGCATAAAAATATTTGGATGTTTTCTGGTATTTTATTTTTTCTAATATTTTCTGTTTCTATATGTACTTGTTTATGCTCTTTTCTTTGTTTTGTTTTTAATTTATGTTCAAATAATAAATGTATTTTTCTATGATCGTTATACCCATGTTAAATCTATTCCGTTAAAAGCATTTCACTACACGTTGTACTGAGTATGATTATGAGTGTGACTAATAAAATTTGTAACTTCATTGAATATTTGTCTAAAAATATGACTATTACAGTCATTTTAGCATAAATTAAACATGTTTGATATCATGAAAAACTAATTCAGACAAGTTTATGAACTTTTCACAGGTAGTGTAGTTGCAGGTCATCAAAAAAAGCTATAAAACCAAAAAGGGCTACAAGATTTAATGCACTGCATGACAACTAATACAAGGATAAATATTGAGTAATATAATAATCAGTAAACATTTCTCTCTTCCCCATATTGTGCTGAATACACCAAATTCTGTCATTCTTCCTGCTCTACAACTTCCAACCTGAAAGTGCTGTCAAATCACCATGATGGTTAACTAGCAAACATTTTATACAAATTATATATACTTTAAGGGAACAGTCAAAACAGACAAGTTAGAAGTTTCAAACTGGGGTCCAGCTGAGTGCTAGGATCCATGGAAATGTTTCGAGAAAAAACAGCATAAACATATTTTAAATAAATAAAAAATTACATTAAAATAAGGGGGAAAAAATAAATGAGTAAATAAATTTAAAAAACATTCAACTAAGAGTACTATAATAAGTATGAAAAACTTAATGTAACTTAATTGAAACCAAATATTTCCCAAATAATATTTGGACATACAGGTGTATTTTTTTTGTAACTTATTTCAAAAAGTGAAACATTCATATAGATTCATTACATGTAAAGTAGGGATATGCCGGTATCACATTCTCATGTTGCGATTAATTGCTAATGCTTTTATCACGGTGTATGGTATTATCACGGTATTGAAATTTAGTTTAAAAAAAAGTGCTGTCATAATACAGTATAACAGGTTTAATAACTTTTTTCTTATAACAAAAATAACTGAACATTTAAATGCAATAAAGCAATACAGAAAAATTTATAAAGTTAAACGTTTTACACAGATTAAAGTGCAAAAGAACTATAAAGACCAATAGGTATCACTTTACAATAAGACCTCATTAGTTAACCTTAGTTAATGCATTAACATTCACAATGAGCAATAGCTACATTTGCTACAGAAGTTATTAATCTTTGTTAAATAAAAAAAGTCTTAGTTCATGTTAGCTCATTAAATAACACAGCTGCAACTCGCGATTTTAACATCCTGTTATTAAATATTGGAATACCTAAGAGTAATAAATGTTCAGAAGAATTTTTCATTGGCAGTTTAACTAATGAATTAACTAATGTTAACTAATGAAGCCCTAATGTAAAGTGTGACCGAACAATAAAGAATCAAAACACTTTCAAACAATATCTAGGGCATGTTGTAGTCCAGATTAAAATGTAAAAAAAAGTTTGAAAATAAATAGCCTATTAAGTCTAAATATTAAGTATATTTAATAAGTATTTGGCGCTGTGATGAACATCATAGCAAATACACAAATCTGAATGACTGCTTAAATCATTTAAACACGATTCAGAAACAGAAAGTAGTGCAGCTGCTTTGTTTACAGGGTTTCCGGGGTAACGGCTGCATTTAAATGAATTATTATTATTATTATTTCTGCAGTTTAGCGCCATCTGCTGTCAGAGAGTGAAAGTGCGCTTTCATCCAGAGCGTCTCTCACATGTTCCGCCATGTGCTTCTCGTCCGCACTTGTTTACATCAGAGTGCGCACGCGTCTTTCACGCAGCATACAGCGGTGTTGTGCATTTTGACCAGTTGATGGGAAAAGTATTCTTAAAATGCATTCAAAATTCGGAATTTTTTTGTTTTAATTTTGATTAGAGCTTTCAGCTCATGAAAGTCAAAAATCCAGTATCTCAAAATATTAGAATATTTCCTAAGATCAATCAAAAAAAGGATTTGCAAAAGAGAAAAGTTCAAGTTCTTTAAAGTATGTTCATTTATGCACTCAATACTTGGTCAGGGCTCCTTTAGCACAAATGACAGCATCAGTGAGGTGTGGCATGGAAGCGATCAGCCTGAAGCCTATTGAGCCTTCAGCTCGTCTGTATTGTTGGATCGACCGTTTTTCATCTTTCTCTTGAGAATATCCCCTAGATTCCATATGGGGTTCAGGTCAGGCATGTTGGCTGGCCAATCAAGCACAG